CCCCAGTGTGTCAGCTCAGTCCCTAGTATGTCAGCTCAGTCCCCAGTGTGTCAGCTCAGTCCCCAGTTTGTCAGCTCAGTCCCCAGTGTGTCAGCTCAGCTGCCAATGTGTCAGCTCCACCGCCAGTGTGTCAGCTCAGCCGCCAGTGTGTCAGCTCAGCCGCCAGTGTGTCAGCTCAGCCGCCAGTGTGTCAGCTCAGTCCCCAGTGTGTCAGCTCAGCCGCCAGTGTGTCTTCGACGTCATCTGGACAAGATAAAACAAGATTCTTGGCTTTGTCCTCCATCTGCTCAATGACGTCAAGTTCAAGATCAACACATGTGGGATATGTTTCCTTCTTTGTTGTCTGTAAGTTCAAGATCAACATATGTGGGATATATGAGGTATCAAATGAAAAAATAATTGAAAGGACTATATGTTTCTAAACTTACTTCTTCAGTTTAACTGAGTTAAACTACCACAAATGACATGCGAATAGCATTGAGTCAAAATGGACCCAGACACGCAGCACCGCCATTCGTACCCGGGTACCATTATTTGATACCTCATTTTGTCTTACAAACCGAACAATAAAATTTTAAATAGTTTTTTAATCCCAACCTCTCACTTCGGGTACCCGGGTGCGAATGGGCACTTCGTTAGAAATACGACTCAAGTTCAAGGGTGTGAAACAAATGGGCGGTTGCGTGCCTTTGGCGGGAGGTGTGGGGGGTGGGGGCACTAATCTTGATTCTGAGATTCTTCTGTGTTCTTATTCTGCCGTTTCGTGCAAAAGAAGGTTTTGAACCCTGATGTCTCCAATAGCACAGAGCCACATACTGGAGCTGATGTCTCCAATAGCACAGAGCCACATACTGGAGCTGATGTCTCCAATAGCACAGAGCCACATACTGGAGCTGATGTCTCCAATAGCACAGAGCCACATACTGGAGCTTAGTGGGTTGCACTGGGGAGGGTATAAAGAGTTTGGTGCAAGCTCCACGGCCGGCTGTAGGGGGGTGGGTGCCTTAGGGAGCTCGGTCCGCTGCTATTTCTAATGTACAATTTCAATAGCACATCCTTTGGCATCGTTTGATTGAAACCACATCCTTTGGCATCGTTTGATTGAAACCACATCCTTTGGCATCGTTTGATTGAAACCACATCCTTTGGCATCGTTTGATTGAAACCACATCCTTTGGCATCGTTTGATTGAAACGAGTCTTTAATAATGCTTGTCAAAAATGTACTTTTCATTTCCTATATATATATATCTTTAAAAAAAGGTAATTAATTGTTTATTATTCATATTAAGAGCTGGAATCTATAAGATTCAGCTTTTAAAATTTTGAGGCCACTTAGATTTGTTTCGTTCTAGGATAAAGCCATCAGGGTGTCTCGCCCTGAAATGGTTCAAAGGTCTATAGATAGAAGATATCTTCTTCTTCTTCTTCATTTTGAGGGCCCAAGATCAATGAATTGATCATTCTGGCTCCTATGTTTCAGAGGGGTTCTCGATGTTATTGTGCATGGTTTTTAAGGGGATACTTCACAGGGTTGCAAGGGCGACTCAGCAGTGGTGTTATGAACTGGGGGTTGGAAGACAGGAGGCAATAGACACAAATGTGTCGAGTGTAGCCGCCTCAACTGTTGCTGTTGGAAGCTTGTTCTAGTCCCTTATTGTCTTTGGCTGGAATGAGGAGCTCCTTTACTGAGTTCTTATTTTTACCAGCCGGAACTGCCTGTCGTGGCCTCGTCGCTGTCTAGGGGAAGATGGACGAGTTTCTGTTTAATGCCGGAGCAGTGGACCAGCTCATTTGTTATCTTGTACAACATGGTGAGCCTGGATAGTCGTCGTCGTTCTTCCAATGTAGACCAGCCCAGTGTTTCCAGCATGCTACCAACACTTGAGGTGTTTCTGTAGCGGTTCAGGACAAAGCGTGCTGCCCGTCGCTGGACCGCCTCCAACCTGTCCATGCTTTTCTGGGTCAATGGGTCCCAGACTGAAGATGCGTATTCTAAAAGCGGCCGGACAAATGCTTTATAGGCTTTTTCTTTCACGCTTTAACTTCATAAAAATGTACTTCAAAAAGAAAAAACTATTCTTGTGTGTGAGTTGTATATGGTGACATATTTAATCAGACATCAATTTTCATACCAACAGTTTACAAATTAAAACAAATTTTAAAAATAATTTCATATTAAGTTTTGATACCCTGAATAATGCCATTAAATGGATTAGAAAAATAATATCTGTAACAAATCAATTAAAATGTGACATACAAATCGAAGGTGAATCTATAGACTACATAAACAGCTTATATGTGCCATACAAATCGAAGGTGAATCTATAGACTACATAAACAGCTTATATGTGCCATACAAATCGAAGGTGAATCTATAGACTACATAAACAGCTTTTACAAAACGCTGCACTATTTTTAAAAGCAACTGAATCTGATCCATTATTTGAAGGGTGATCATCACTTGTAGAATTGGCTGGACCTACCACTACTACAGCTTTATTTGGACCTACCACTACTACAGCTTTATTTGGACCTACCACTACTACAGCTTTATTTGGACCTACCACTACTACAGCTTTATTTGTTACAACCAGTATTTAAAAAAAATGGATATTTTTGTTTTTTTACTGCTTTCAAACCATCAACATTAAATCAACCAGTATCTAAAAAATTGATATTTTTTTTTACTGCTTTCAAACCATCAACATTAAATCAACAAGTATCTAAAAAATGGATTTTTTAAAAAACTGCTTTCAAACCATCAACATTCAACCAGTATCTAAAAAATGGATATTTTTTTTTTTTTAAACTGCTTTCAAACCATCAACTTTAAAAGGCAAGCTTAAAATAATGTAAGAAACCGTTCATCTTGTAGAACAGACTCTTTTTCTGTAGATATAAATAAAATAAAAATCTGAAGTGATGGACGGGTTAAATCATCTCATTCATGTTTAATGATACTCATTGCATGTTAAGGGAGAAACAAAACTGAAAGATAATGAGATATATACAACAAATAGATGGAGATAACATTATTTTAAGGGCACTTAGATTTAACAGGTCCTATGATAAAGCCACCAAGACACATTTTTTAAGTTATTTATCCTGTACTAGAAGAGCTCTAAAACATGGCCCTTCTAGACTTGTGCCTGCTACATTTAAGAACTAGACTTGTGCCTGCTACATTTAAGAACTAGACTTGTGCCTGCTACATTTAAGAACTAGACTTGTGCCTGCTACATTTAAGAACTAGACTTGTGCGTGCTACATTTAAGAACTAGACTTGTGCCTGCTACATTTAAGAACTAGACTTGTGCGTGCTACATTTAAGAACTAGACTTGTGCCTGCTACATCTAAGAACTAGACTTGTGCCTGCTACATCTAAGTACTAGACTTGTGCCTGCTACATTTAAGAACTAGACTTGTGCCTGCTACATTTAAGAACTAGACTTGTGCCTGCTACATCTAAGTACTAGACTTGTGCCTGCTACATCTAAGAACTAGACTTGTGCCTGCTACATTTAAGAACTAGACTTGTGCCTGCTACATCTAAGAACTAGACTTGTGCCTGCTGTGTCTTAGAACTAGACTTGTGCCTGCTACATCTGAGACTGAAGGCACACATGAAAACTGAATAAAGCAAATATAATATTCACATGATTTATTCCTTAACTTCAATTCCGTAATGTTCTGCTAACTAAATCAAACATTGTGCGTCTCTTTGTTTCCCTACCCCATTTCGGACTTCTGGTTATTCCACATACTTTGCCTTTGTAGATGACTCAACATACAATTAACCAAGAAAACATTACCGGTACTAAACATAGTTGAGAACTAAATTTACATTCAACTCTATTTGAAAGTTCTTCCAATAAACTTATTCATACTTCCAGATTGAAATTGCCCAAAAGATTTTTAAAATTTGACTTAAAAATGAGTAATAAGAAATTTCTTAAAATGTATTACACAAAGATGGACTGTACAGTGCAGCGAAGCACTAAGTATAGACAAATAAGGACTGTACAGTGCAGAGAAGCACTCTATGTAGCACTCTGTGTAGACAAAGATTTTGAATTGAATGTAGACGAAACTTAAATATGTTTTATTTGCAGTCATTTTTGAAAATATTTTCTGCAAAGGCTTAATTGTTCTTTTTTCTCCTCCTTTTTAGTATTAAAATTATCGCCAAAAGTCGAATTATTAAATTTTTAAACATCAAATGCTAACAAAATACCGCTTGAGGGGACGCAACTCATGACCTAGGCATACAACTAAAAGTAGATCTGAGCTCACCCACCCATTCACTCAGCAAACCAGATGCTGTCAACCGTGATCATTTGAGCAATGGTGTCAACCCACCACCCACCCAATCTCTAAGCCAAGCAGATGCTGTCAACTGTGATCATTTGAGCAACGGTGTCAACCCGCCTCCGCCATCCAGCCGTTCACCAGGTGAACGATGCACAAGGAATCTTAAAATGTCATGCCTACACAATGTCATTATCCTCCATCCACAAGATGGACATGGGATAAGAGACATGGGATAAGAGGCATGGGATAAGAGGCATGGGATAATAGACATGGGATAAGAGACATGGGATAAGAGACATGGGATAAGAGGCATGGGATAAGAGACATGGGATAAGAGGCATGGGATAAGAGACATGGGATAAGAGACATGAGAAAAGAGAAATGGGATAAGAGACATGGGATAAGACACATGGGATAAGAGACATGGGATAAGAGACATGGGATAAGAGACACGGGATAAGAGACATGGGATAAGAGACATGGGATAAGAGTCATGGGATAAGAGACATGGGATAAGAGATATGGGATAAGAGACATGGGATAAGAGTCCATGAAAGAGAGATGCAATTAAAAGGTGGATGTTGGAGATTTGTGAGGGAGGGGAGGCAACTGTTAATAATTTACATTTTTGAATATCTGGTGGTTTCATTGTTTTTCAAAGACAGTAAATAGAAAGATTTCAACAACTAAACCTGGCTCCAAAGTAAGTAAGTAAGGCACTTTTTAATCACAATCAAAATTAAGAATCAAGGCATCATTTAGAATTTGATTGAACTGAGTTGAGCTATTTTTAAAATGAAACCTGCATTGTTATAAAATTATTATTTGAAACTATTAAAATCTACAGCACAGAATAGAATCAGGAATTCAAGGATGAAACTTTACGGACTGATAAAAACAGTACATCTAATAAAAGATGGTAAAATCATCATAAGTCATCATCATAAGTCAAGTATTACATGAGATTTTGTATTACATGAGATTGTTGCATAACACGATATTGTTGTATTACATGAGATTGTTGCATTACATGAGATTGTTGCATTACATGACATTTTTTCATTAGGTCTTTCTGTAATGTTGCAAAATGCACAACCTTTGGTTACATATAAACTCTTGAAACAATTGAGCAATACAAATTATACTACATATATCAAAACACATTATAATATATATATCAAAACACCTTATAATATATATATCAAACACCTTATAATAAATAAGATCAAACTCCTTATAATATATATATATATCAGCAAAGTATGCTAGTAAGATCTGAAAAAGTGTCCAGTCTTCTGATTTCATAACAACAATGCTTCAATGAACTCTTTATGCCATTTAAGTCAACAATAAGAAAAATTTTGTTGCACATTTAAAGACAATAAATTGCTTTTACATATTCAAATAAACTCAACAACAGTGGATTCCATGTCTGGTTAAAAAAGATAAGCTTAGCAAATATTTCGATCTGAAATGATGGAACGAAATAAAAAGTCATAGATAATTGCCAGCTTAAAATGAATTGAGTCAAGATTAAAACTGAAATAAAATCTGATCAGGAGTAAATCCATATCTCAGTTCCTGCACACTATGAGTATATCCGCATCCCATTTTCTGCAACCTCAGAGTATATCCACATCCCATTTTCTGCAACCTCAGAGTATATCCACATCCCAGCTGGGAGTATATCCCCACCCAAGTTCCTGCAAGCTACGAGTATATAACATCCCAGTTCCTGCAAGCTAGGAGTAAATCCACATCCCAGTTCCTGCAAGCCTAGCAAATACATGTCATGTGTTGAAGATGACCGAACTTTTCTGTACCAGCCTCAGAGTTTAAGGTCCTTTGGCGTATCCAATAACTTGTAGACATTCTCGAATAGCAGTGTACACATTAGGATCCTCAATGGTCACTGGAATCTGGGGGTCAAAACATCAAATTATTTCTTATCACCCCATTCCACTGTTCATAGAACTGAGTTTTGTGTTTTTAAAGGCAATAAATATTGATTCAAACATTCAAAATGATAAAATAATCAAAATGATAAAATATTCAACATGATAAAATATTCAAAATCATACAATTTTCAAAATTAATGTCACTCAAAATAATAAAATATTCCCCAAATGCCAACCTTGGCCTCTATGTAAGCAACACCACAACTCACTTCAATTGGACTTCCTTTCAAAGGTTTCTCTCACTAGTAGACTTCCTTTCAAAGGTTTCTCTCACTAGTAGACTACCTTTCAAAGGTTTCTCTCACTAGTAGACTTCCTTTCAAAGGTTTCTCTCACTAGTAGACTTCCTTTCAAAGGTTTCTCTCACTAGTAGACTTCCTTTCAAAGGTTTCTCTCACTAGTAGACTTCCTTTAAACAGTGTTTCCCCACCTTATTTGTGCAATGCCCATCTAAGCCTTTCTGAAATTATTATGCTCCCCCCCCCCCATCACATAAATAAGTTTTAATATTCTAAAATCGGGTTGTTCACTCGAAAAAACTTAAATGATAGGTTTTAGGAAGAAATCACTAGGAAATTGGTGAGATCACATAGTTTTTAAATTTTCAAAACATATAATGGAGAATTGAAATTCACTTTTAAAGAGCGCTTATTTTAAATTGAGAATTTAACGATTCTCCTTTTAAAATACAAGTTAAATCATAGTAGACGGTTCTTTTAAAATTCTAGACAGCTCAATTTCGAACTGCCCTCATAAACAATCAAATTTCCCCCCTTTGGGGCATGGGCCCCACATTGCAAAACACTGGTTTAAAAGTTTTCCCTTACAAGTAGACTTACTTTAAAATGTTTACCTTACAAGTAGACTTACTTTAAAATGTTTACCTTACATGTAGACTTACTTTAAAATGTTTACCTTACAAGTAGACTTACTTTAAAATGTTTACCTTACATGTAGACTTACTTTAAAATGTTTACCTTACAAGTAGACTTACTTTAAAATGTTTACCTTACAAGTAGACTTACTTTAAAATATTTACCTTACAAGTAGACTTAATTTAAAATGTTTACCTTACAAGTAGACTTACTTTAAAATGTTAACCTTACAAGTAGACTTACTTTAAACTGTTAACCTTACAAGTAGACTTACTTTAAAATGTTTACCTTACAAGTAGACTTACTTTAAAAGTTTTCCCTTACAAGTGGACTTACTTTAAAAGTTTTCCCTTACAAGTAGACTTACTTTAAAAGTTTTCCCTTACAAGTAGACTTACTTTAAAATGTTAACCTTACAAGTAGACTTACTTTAAAATGTTAACCTTACAAGTAGACTTACTTTAAAAGGTTAAACTTACAAGTAGACTTACTTTAAAAGGTTTCCCTGCTGCTAAAGCTGCCAGTGTGTTACGAGCAACTTTCCCAGACCTTGTCTTAGGAAGCTTTGGGACAAGGACCACCAGTTTAAAAGCTGCCACGGGTCCAACGATGTGACGCACTTGTTTGATGACATCCTCTTTGATTTCATCTTCAGATTTCTTTGTGCCTTGTTGAAGCAACAGAACAACATTCAAACATACCAACTAATACTATGCAGCCAAATCAAAGGCTTTTCTTGAACTCTGTATGGTCCAACTAAAGAGAAATCCAACTTTTTGGCCCGACAGGAAAGGGGAGGAGCTGACCTTTTTTTGTTGTTGAATTTAGTTTAATTAAATTAGTATCATGGTAATTAAATTAGTATCATGGTAATTAAATTGGTATCATGGTAAAATATTTTTTAAGTTATAAAAATTAGGGCTCTAAAAAGTAATAAAAATTAAGGTTTTAAATATATTTATTGTTTTTAAAATAAAATTATTTTTATTCGAACGGGACGAGATTACGTCGTTTATTTTTTTTTCTTGTCGAGAACCGATTCGAGCTAGCTTCTTCGAAAAAAATTATTTTAAATTACAAAAATGGACTCAGAAAACAATGAAATTAACTTAGATGAATCCCTAAGTGACTCTTCTGATGATTGGGATACAGATTAATATGAAACAACATGGGATGAAGCAGTGGATGTTTCTTTTCCTACACAAGTACAGTTTCAAACAATGTAAGTCTAGCTAGCCACTCGATTGGGCCACTAAAATTAACATTTCCAAATAATCTAAACAACAAAATATATTTTGCTATTAAATAATAGTATCCTAGTTATAGTCTTACAATTTTGAAATGATAATTTTTTTTTTTCCAATCATGCTTTGGCTTTAAAACTAACTTTAAAACTAACTTTAAAACTAACTTTAAAACTAACTTTAAAACTAACTTTAAAACTAACTTTAAAACTAACTTTAAAACTAACTTTAAAACTAACTTTAAAACTAACTTTAAAACTAACTTTAAAACTAACTTTAAAACTAACTTTAAAACTAACTTTAAAACTAACTTTAAAACTAACTTTAAAACTAACTTTAAAACTAAGTGTTTGTTTACAAAATCAGCTGATTTTCGTAGTCATTGTTGTAGTTTTTGTTTTTGTCTTTTGCCAAACTCTAAGGCGTCAATCATGGAAGCTGTTCATTTACCCTTTTAAAATATGTTATTAGGCAGTTTATTTCATATAGCCCTATATTTATTTATTTTTTTTCTTTCTAATCAGTGCAGATAATACATTGCCAATTGACTTGGACTTGGAAAAAAACCAACCTATGAAGATGTTGACCAGGGACCCTCTCAGGCCATGACTAAATTTATCCCTAAAAGAAAACCTGGACTCAATATTATGAATTCTGAAAAGCAGGCAACTCGAAATGAGATGCAAAAACTAAAAACTGCAGGTAAGGAATTTATTTGATCTTATAAATTGCAGTACTAATGAATAGGCTATAGGAGGTAAGGGATATTTGATCTTATAAATTGCAGTACTAATGAATACGCTATAGGCATAAGAATTAGATTTAAAAAAAAAAATTTACTTTTCTTATAATATAATGCTATTTTCTTATTATATAATACTTTATAATATTACAACTGTTATAATATTGTTATATCTGTAGTATATCAATAAAATCCTGCTTTTATGTCATGCTAACCTGCAATTTACAAATAAATTAACTAATCTCTGGGAAATCTCTTCACTCTTCTTCTATCAGGATATCATGTTGAATGCTTATGCCAACCACATGAGACAAGAAAATAAAAAGTACCTCCCCACTAACTGGAAGAAAACAACACCCACAGAACTCAACATTTGTTTTTCTTTACTTATAGACATGAAATTAATTCCATGCTGCGGTGCTACTGTCTCAAAAGAAAGCGTGTGAGACTGTAATGGTAGTTAAATGTTTGACATGTGAGAAGCATTTCTACCTGAGTGAACTATTTGTTGATTGTTAGAGAACACCCCCTAAGTCTAGAGGACTCTTGGACTGTGTTGGAATTTGTTTAGGAGGCCTGATTTAGTCACGTAAGCGACCTGATTTGGTCACGAAAGCGGCCTGATTTAGTCACGTAAGCGGCCTGATTTAGTCACGTAAGCCCTAACGTTATTTTTATTTTTTTATATTTATTCATTATCTATTAAAATTTCAATAATTTAAAAACAAAATTATTCAAATTATTTGTCATCATAATTTATTTTTTAATGTATTTGTATTAAATATAAACCTTTAAATATAAAAAAAAATAGTTTTTAAACTTTGTATTTGAATAATTTTTAGTAATAAGGTCATTGTCAATTTTAACCGCAAAAACACTATTGACAAAAACACTATTGACAAAACGCTATTGACAAAAACGCTATTGACAAAAACGCTATTGACAAAAACACTATTGACAAAAACACTATTGATTGACAAAAACACTATTGATTGACAAAAACACTATTGATTGACAAAAACACTATTGATTGACAAAAACACTATTGACAAAAACACTATTGATTGACAAAAACACTATTGATGCATGTTTCACAGAAAAAATATTTACAAAAAAAACTAACAGATGTGTTTGTAAAATTCTTTTTTTGGATTTTGGATTGCAGAATTAAAAATCAAAACATTTGAAAGTTTTTCTTCTATAAATTTTGTTTCTTTCTTAGAGTATGTTGTTTGTGTAAAAAAATGTTGTTAAAATGTAAAATCATTTTCTCACTTCAATCATGATTGTAAGAAAACACACAATCATTTTCTCACTTCAATCATGATTGTAAGAAAACACACAATCATTTTCAAGCACAATTTATAAAATATGAATCTCCATTTATTTCTGAACAATTAAATATGTAACCGGATGGGTATTAGTTGGCTACTCTTTATATGGTATCCCATTATGTGAGATGACCTAAAAAAATTTTGTTTTAAAAAATTGAACGAGTCAAATATTTTCTAACATGAAATTGAACAATTTATACACTTATAAATGTGTTTAGCATTTTTGTTGCTTTGCACAGGGTCTTACCATGCTTGACAACACATAGGCCTAAAGGTACGCTCCCTTTGAGTTTGTCTGGTACACCAATAACTGCAGACTCAACCACTTCAAGGCATTCTAAGATGGCCTGCACTCAGTTAAAACAGCAATTAACATTATAAAACTATCAAAAGACTGAAAAGTAACAAATATGTAACTAAAGTAACATTTTATTTTTAAAATTAATTAAAATTTAATAATTTAAAGGATATTTCTCATTATTTCTTGTAACGTTAAATAGTTTATAAGTTGATCATTTGAAACAAAGTGTAAAACTAAGCTGCCCTGGTACAAACTAATGACATTTTATTATTTCTTTTAAAGATGATTAAAAGAGACAAAAATAAAATATAAATAATGATTTATTGCATTTCTGTAATGGTCTGAAAGGGGAGAGAATGCAGATGATCTTTGATAAACACTTGGGAACATTTTGTTGACTGCTCTAGTTGGCTTTCTTTATACACAATCAGCAATCAGCCTATTGATAATAAAGACTACTTCAAGACAAAGCAATGTCAATTGATAGAGTACTGAAGCCTCTTATCTCTAGCAATGAAGCCTCTTATCTCTAGCAATGAAGCCTCTTATCTCTAGCAATGAAGCCTCTTATCTCTAGCAATGAAGCCTCTTATCCCCAGCAATAAAGCCTCTTATCCACAGCAATAAAGCCTCTTATCCACAGCAATAAAGCCTCTTATCCACAGCAATAAAGCCTCTTATCCACAGCAATGAACCCTCTTATCTCGAGCAATGAATGCTCTTATTTCTAGCAATGAAGCATCTTATCCCCACCAATGAAGCCTCTTATCTCTAGCAATGAAGCTTTTATCTCTAGCAATGAGCCTCTTATCTCTAGCAATGAAGCCTCTTATCTCCAGCAATGAAGCCTCTTATCTCTAGCAATGAAGGCTCTTATCTCTAGCAATGAAGCCTCTTATCCCCAGCAATGAGCCTCTTATCTCTAGCAATCAAGCCTCTTATCTCCAGCAATGAAGCCTCTTATCTCCAGCAATGAAGCCTCTTATCTCTAGCAATGAAGGCTCTTATCCCCAGCAATGAGCCTTTTATCTCTAAGCAATGAAGCCTCTTATCTCCAGTAATGAAGCCTCTTATCTCTAGCAATGAGCCTCTTATCTCTAGCAATGAAGCCTCTTATCTCCAGCAATGAAGCCTCTTATCTCTAGCAATGAAGCTTTTATCTCTAGCAATGAGCCTCTTATCTCTAGCAATGAAGCCTCTTATCTCCAGCAATGAAGCCTCTTATCTCTAGCAATGAAGGCTCTTATCTCTAGCAATGAAGCCTCTTATCCCCAGCAATGAGCCTCTTATCTCTAGCAATCAAGCCTCTTATCTCCAGCAATGAAGCCTCTTATCTCCAGCAATGAAGCCTCTTATCTCTAGCAATGAAGGCTCTTATCTCTAGCAATGAAGGCTCTTATCCCCAGCAATGAGCCTTTTATCTCTAAGCAATGAAGCCTCTTATCTCCAGTAATGAAGCCTCTTATCCCCAGCCATGAAGCCTCTTATCCCCAGCAACGAAGCCTCTTATCTCTAGCAATGAAGGCTCTTATTTCTAGCAATGAAGTATCTTATCCCCACCAATGAAGCCTCTTATCTCCAACAACGAAGCCTCTTATCTCCAGCAATGAAGTTTCTTATCCCCAACAATGAAGCCTCTTATCTCCAACACTAGGAATCTACTTAAGAATGATTGATTGAATGTTGCAAACCTCTTCTAAAGATCCACATGATAGTCTGTGTCCGGCAACATTGATGACATCATCAGTGCGAGATAGTACAGAGATGTAGCCATCTTTGTCTCTGACTCCTGAATCCATGGTGTCATAATAGCCCTGTCGGAGAAGGTCAATGCTCGTTAGTCATAAAAGCCATGTTGGAGTAGGTCAATGGTCATAGTGTCAGAATAGCAATGTTGAGGTAGGTCAATGGTCATGCATTTTCTATTTCTGATTTCCAGTTTTGCCATTGTAGAACCCAACTCGGAATATTCCCCATTGTACAGCCCGAATCTGCATAATCACCATTGTAGAGCTCAAATATAAATATTCCCCATTCTAGAGCTCAACTCTGAATATCCCCATTCTAGAGCTCAACTCTGAATATTCCCCATTCTAGAGCTCAACTATGAATATTCCCCATTCTAGAGCTCAACTCTAAATATTCCCCATTCTAGAGCTCAACTATGAATATTCCCCATTCTAGAGCCCAACTCTGAATATTCCCCATTCTAGAGCTCAACTATGAATATTCCCCATTCTAGAGCCCAACTCTGAATATTCCCCATTCTAGAGCTCAACTCTGAATATTCCTCACTGTAGAGCTCAACTCTGAATATTCCCCATTCTAGAGCTCAACTCTGAATATTCCCCATTCTAGAGCCCAACTCTGAATATTCCCCATTCTAGAGCCCAACTCTGAATATTCCCCATTAAGGCGCCCAAAAATGAAGTATTCCAAACCTAACAGGAAAAAGATATTTGAAGTGCCCAACATTAAGCCTATTTGTTGAACTTACTGGCATCCCATTGAAGTAGGTCTCCTTGAATAAGTCATCATTCTTGTAGAGTGTAGACATGAAACCAGGAGGTAATGGTGTTCTGATGGCATTCAACAGAAAGTCATTCAAAATTTGTTTTTATAGGGCTAACAATGACTTATCATAGTGCTAACATGAAATATCAGAGTGCAAACATAACATATCACAGTGCTAACATGACATATCACAGTGCTAACATGACATATCACAGTGCTAACATGACATAATACAGTGCTATCATAACATATCACAGTGCTAATATGACATATATGGATAAAATGACATCTCATATGGCTAACATGACATATCATAGGGATAAAATGACATCTCATTGAGCTAACATGACATATCACAGGGCTAACATGACATATCTAAACAATACAATATTCTCTTTTTTTGAAAGGCCGATTCCTTAGGGCTAACAAACAATTACAGCAAATAAAAATAAAATAACTGAAGAGATAAGGGGAGTTGTTAAATATTAATTTCTTGAATAAGGTCTCAACAAAAAAGAGTAGCATCGTAAAAAAACAGTTACTTACTTGACATAAATTTGACCCAGCTCCCCTGGCTTGGTTTCCTCTCCATTTGGCTTCAATACCTTAACTGGAAGATTTATATAACACAATAGTTGATTGAAGATTTATGTAACACAAAAGTTCACTAGAAGATTTATGTAACACAAAATTTCATTAGAAGATTTATGTAACAAAATAGTTGATTGGAAGATCTATGTAACACAATTGTTCACTGGAAGATTTATGCAACACGATAATACACTGAAAGATTTATGTAGCCCAATAGTTCACTGGAAGATTTATGTAACACAATAATTAGAAGATTTATGTATCACAATAATTAGAAGATTTATGTAACACAATAGTTCACTGGAAGATTTATGTAACACAATAATTAGAAGATTTATGTAATTCTCTATGATTACTTATGATTACTCTAGTGTTCACTGAAAGATTTATGTAACTCAACAGTTCCGTCAAAGAATTATATGACAAGTTTACTGGAAGATTTAGTTTAAAGTAAAGTAGGAATGTTCAACAAGTTGTTGGTGGATAGCAGAATCAGGGAGAGAATTCCTTTCAACAGACATAATAGAACAGTGTTCTGATATAAGAGATTATCAAGCCAAAAAAAAATCTGGTTCTAATCTAAGGTGCTAAGCAAGGCTCACTTTGAACTCAGACGTTTGGGGTTACTCTGAGGCAGCGGTTCTCAACCTATGGGTTGTGAACCCTTTAAGGGTTGCATGACCCTTACACAGGGGTCGCCTAACATTGGAAAACACATGAAGATGCAACGAAAATAACTTTATGGTTGGGGGTCACCACAACATGAGGAGCTCATTAAAGGGTCGTGGCGTTAGGAAGGTTGAGAACCACTGCTTTAAGCCCAAGGGAGAAAACACCAATAAAAAAATCAAAAACACACAAAATTGAGTGTAGCATGCAACACCATGGTATTCTTAAAATAGGATGTTACTATAACATTTACACCGGAGTGCAAATATAAGGAAAAAAAAAAGAAGATTCTTAGCAATATTGGCAGGCCAATCCTTTCTCTATGATTACTTATGATTACTCTAGTGGCAGGCCAATCCTTTCTCTATGATTACTTATGATTACTCTAGTGGCAGGTCAATCCTTTCTCTATGATTACTTATGATTACTCTAGTGGCAGGCCAATCCTTTCTCTATGATTACTTATGATTACTCTAGTGGCAGGCCAATCCTTTCTCTATGATTACTTATGATTACTCTAGTGGCAGGCCAATCCTTTCTCTATGATTACTTATGATTACTCTAGTGGCAGGCCAATCCTTTCTCTATGATTACTTATGATTACTCTAGTGGCAGGCCAATCCTTTCTCTATGATTACTTATGATTACTCTAGTGGCAGGCCAATCCTTTCTCTATGATTACTTATGATTACTCTAGTGGCAGGCCAATCCTTTCTCTATGATTACTTATGATTACTCTAGTGGCAGGCCAATCCTTTCTCTATGATTACTTATGATTACTCTAGTGGCAGGCCAATCCTTTCTCTATGATTACTTATGATTACTCTAGTGGCAGTCTTTCTTTAATTTATGATTACTCTAGAGCAGGGGTCTCAAAACTACGGACTGCTGGCCACATCGCATGCCGCCTGCGAGGCCCTCTAATGCGGCCCATGGAGACCTTTTTGTATACTGAAAAAAATTGCGAAAATGTACGTGTATCCTGCCAAGATCAGACGCCGCTTACGTGGACATTATGTTTTTACTGTATTAAAATAGATGCGTGCAGTAGTGCGTTATGTTTTCTAACCCACTAACAAAGGTTTAACTTTCCGCTTATTGAATGTTTGTCCTGTTCGGCCCGCAACCTTACATGTGATTTGAGTTTTGGCCCGCCAAGTGATTGAGTTTTGACACCCCTGCTGTAGCGTCATTTTTGTAGAGACAAAACCAGAGAAACAGCTTTTGTACAGAGAGACATTGCTTTTAAACCAATTCAATGAAAGTTAGATCTCAAAATAAGTTCTATTTAGGTTATTTCAATGGATTGGTAACAAGGATTGCAGTGAGAAGTTTAGTAAGTTCAAGGGCAAGTTCAATTCAAGGGCTTCAAAGTTTTAGAAAAAAGTTCCCCCCCCTAATGTTCCTACATTCTTAAGATTTAAGGGTCAACTCCTACTGACCATTGCATCCTGGTACAGGCTGGCCAGTAGTTCCTGGTACTTACCATTCCATCCTGGTACAGGCTTGCCAGTAGTTCCTGGTAGTGGGTAAAGATTCATCCCTAGACCTCTGCAAGTAGCTGTCATGGGCCAGCCAGTTTCTGAATGGTCAGTATAGGATGTTAGTCTCACAAACATATGACAGAAAGAGTGGCAAGGGACTCTTATAACATATGAATGACAGGAAGTGTGGCAAGAGAAAAAATAAGTAAGCCTGCGTAGCCTATTGCGACTGTAAACGGCCATGTAAATTGGCGGTTCTTAAGAGGATATTATACAAAAAACAACATATCCTTTATAAATGCTAATAGAAGCACGACCTGTTTGCCACCAGTTATCCAGGATTGGCTTATTGATCAGAGTTTGTATCCAATGCATAGTCTCATGGTCACAATGTTCTCCTGCCACGAACAACGTCTCAAATCTGGAACAAATGACATGCCAACTTAAGGACACTTTAAACACTAGAATTGAACATTCACAATTGAAAGAAAAAAAATGTCAGTTACTTGAGGATCGTTCATCCATTGTAATAGTTTCATTTCAAACCTACAACAGTTTCATTTCAAACCTACAACAGTTTCATTTCAAACCTACAACAGTTTCATTTCAAACCTACAACAGTTTCATTTCAAACCTACAACAGTTTCATTTCAAACCTACAACAGTTTCATTTCAAACCTACAACAGTTTTCAATGAAATTAAAATAATATATGTACTTTTAAAACTGTGTCTAAATGCATGCCTTGAAACACTTACTTGTCTAGTGGCAAATAAGGTTTGGCATAAATGCCATCTTCGTCCTGAAAAATATTTGTATCAATATGGAATAATATTTCTGCTGAATGCACAGTAAATATGGACTAACTTCCTGTTTAACATATTTGTATGATCTGATCTGTCTTTTAGGACGGCTGCATTGCATTTGTTAACTTTGTAATATTACTCCAATCAAACATCAAAAGTTAATAATAGTTCAAGAAACCCGAGTTCTGTTATCAACGTAATAGAGATCAAAATATTTCAAGGATAGAGTGTGATTTGAAATAATATATGTCATATAATAAAGCTATTACTAACATTACAGATGTCATATAATAAAGCTATTACTAACATTACCGATGTCATATAATAAAGCTATGACTAATATTAAAGATGTCATATAATAAAGCTATCACTAACATTACAGATGTCATATAATAAAGCTATTACTAACTTCTCTGGACTAAAGTAAAAGCAACAAATCATAGGCAGACCTCTGCACGAATAGCCCGCAGCGCAGTGGGTGCCACAAACATGGCCTTGACCTGATGCTGATTAATGACACGGAAAAAAGCCCCCGGGTCTGGTGTACCAACAGGTTTGCCCTGGGAAGAAAGCCATGCACAGTTTAACAGGGTGTTTACAACAAAAAGAACCGAGATGAATTTGACTGAGACTAAATAAAAATATATAGGGACTTGAAAACTCTTGACAAATGAAACAGTATATTTTTTACACTATGTATAGCAAGCATTAAGGTTAAACAATTTCTACATATATTTTAAAGACGTAAGTATGAGCTTCCATCTATGTACGAAAATATTTTTATCTAAGAACTGTTGAGACATCTTGCGCATACACTTTCAAAGATATTCATTTTGTTAGTTTACAGATGGCATATTGTCTTCTAAAATTGTCATAAGCATATTAAAAAAGCTTACCTCATAGAGAATTGTAGTACAACCATTTAGAAGAGGCGCGTATGTAATGAAAGAATGGCCCACTACCCAGCCCAGGTCTGAAGCAGCCCACCACACCTGTGATGGAAGTCAATTTGAACTAACCAAATGATCAATATAAGGAAATGTCAATCAAGAAATAATCTCAGTGAGAAAATGCTTGCCCCAATAACTGAAATCAACTAAAATGACTGATGATTCTAGTCAAAGTGTGAAATACATACACCAGTATAAACTTGACCATGGCATTCTATAGAATGTCTGGATGACACACTTTGCCTTGGCATTCTATAGAATGTCTGGATGACACACTTTGCCTTGGTATTCCATAAAATGTGTGGATGACACACTTTGCCTTGGTATTCTATAGAATGTGTGGATGACACACTTTGCTTTGGCATTCTATATAATGTCTGAGTTACACACTTTGCCTTGGCATTCTCTATAATGTCTGAGTTACACAATTTGCCTTGGCATTCTCTATAATGTCTGGGTTACACACTTTGCCTTGGCATTCTATAGACTGTCTGGGTTACACACTTTGCCTTGGCATTCTATATAATGTCTGGGTTACACACTTTGCCTTGGCATTCTATAGACTGTCTGGGCTACACACTTTGCCTTGGCATTCTATAGAATGTCTGGGTTACACACTTTGCCTTGGCATTCTATAGAATGTCTGGGTTACACACTTTGCCTTGGCATTCTATAGAATGTCTGGGTTACACACTTTGCCTTGGCATTCTATAGACTGTCTACAGAGATGTTTTAAAATAAATGTAGCAAGGGAGCAAAGTGGCCAAATACTGACCTGCCCAGGTTTGACTCCATAAACATTGGCCAAGGCCCAACTTAACGCCACAGCATTTCCACCACTGGGTCGAACCACCGCCTGAGAACAAGACAATCCATATTTTTCTTTTAAGAATATTCTCAGATATTTAAGAAAAAATTAGTTTTAACACAAACATCTCTACTGTAAACTATGCCTATATAAGTTCAAACATCTCCACTGTAAATTATGCCTATAAGTTCAAACATCTCTACTGTAAATTATGCCTATAAGTTCAAACATCTCTACTGTAAACTATACCTACAAGTTCAAACATCTCTACTGTAAACTATGCCTATAAGTTCAAACATCTCTACGGTAAACTATGCCTATAAGTTCAAAAATCTCTACTGTAAACTATGCCTATAAGTTCAAACATCTCTACTGTAAACTATGCCTATATAAGTTCAAACATCTCTACTGTAAACTATGCCTAAAATTTCAAACATCTCCACTGTAAATTATGCCTATAGGTTCCAATTAATCCAAAGAAATAAAACGTTAAATAGAACATGCAGGAAAGTTGTGCTTAGTTGTAGTGGGTCTGTACTTACTTTAGGTCGGCCAGTTCTACCAGGCTATAAAGTAGGTCTGTACTTACTTTAGGTAGGCCAGTTGTACCAGACTATAAAGTGGGTCTGTACTTACTTTAGGTAGGCCAGTTCTACCAGACTGTAAAGTGGGTCTGTACTTCCTTTAGGTCGGCCAGTTGTACCAGACTGTAAAGTGGGTCTGTACTTCCTTAAGGTAGGCCAGTTGTACCAGACTATAAAGTGGGTCTGTACTTCCTTTAGGTAAGCCAGTTGTACCAGACTATAAAGTAGGTCTGTACTTTCTTTAGGTAGGCCAGTTGTTCCAGACTGTAAGGTGGGTCTGTACTTCCTTTAGGTAGGCCAGTTGTACCAGACTATAAAGTAGGTCTGTACTTCCTTTAGGTAGGCCAGTTGTACCAAACTATAAAGTGGGTCTGTACTTACTTTAGGTAGGCCAGTTGTACCAGACTATAAAGTGGGTCTGTACTTACTTTAGGTAAGCCAGTTGTACCAGGCTATAAAGTGGGTCTGTACTTCTAGTTGTACCAGGCTATAAAGTGGGTCTGTACTTCCTTTAGGTAGGCCAGTTGTACCAGGCTATAAAGTGGGTCTGTACTTACTTTAGGTAAGCCAGTTGTACCAGATGTGTAGAGAATATAAAGTGGGTCTGTAGCAGAAACTGGAACACAGTCGGCAGGTTTTCCTAAGGATACAGCTTCATTCCAGTCAATGTCTTGATCTTTTTTTAAAACAGCTGGTTCAAACTAAAGGACAGAATTTTTAAAAAATAAAAAAAATTATTTGCTTTTATTTCTTAGCTTGGAAGCTCTATTTCACTATAGATGAATTCAACTAAAGTAGCCACCAGTTGAATTCAACTAAAGTAGCCACAAGATGAATTCAACTTAAGTTGCCACCAGATGAATTCTACTATAGTAGCCACCAGATGAATTCAACTTAAGTTGCCACCAGATGAATTCAACTTAAGTTGCCACCAGATGAATTCAACCATAGCAGCCACCAGATGAATTTAACTATAGCAGCCACCAGATGAATTCAACTATAGTAGCCACCAGATTAATTCTACTTTAGTAGCCACCAGATGAATTCAACTTTAGTAGCCACCAGATTTATTCTGCTATAGTAGCCACAAGATGAATTCAACTATAGTAGCAAACAGATGAATTCAACTATAGCAGCCACCAGATTAATTCTGCTATAGTAGCCACCAGATGAATTCAACTATAGCACCCAATTGCTTGAGCACAACTTACACTTGTCCTGTTGAAAATGATACATTTCCTAGGCTGATAATTGACGATGTGCAGAGCTTCATCAAGCAGGGGCTTGTATGGGACTGTTCTGGATGGCTCAACTCCACAATTTGCACTGACAATAACTGTGGGCTGGAAGTGAAAGACATTGTGAGAACTGGTGCTCTGATCTAGAGATCAAATAGCTTGGCTTATCAGAACACTTAGTAAGACACTATTAGAACTGGTGCTCTGATCTAGAGATCAAATAGCTTGGCTTATCAGAACACTTAGTAAGACACTATTAGAACTGGTGCTCTGATCTAGAGATCAAATAGCTTGGCTTATCAGAACACTTAGTAAGACACTATTAGAACTGGTGCTCTGATCTAGAGATCAAATAGCTTGGCTTATCAGAACATTTAGTAAGACACTATTAGAACTGGTGATCTGATCTAGAGATCAAATAGCTTGGCTTATCAGAACATTTAGTAAGACACTGTCAGAACTGGTGCTCTGATCTAGAGATCAAATAGCTTGGCTTATCAGAACATTTAGTAAGACACTGTTAGAACTGGTGCTCTGATCTAGAGATCAAATAGCTTGGCTTATCAGAACATTTAATAAGACACTATTAGAACTGGTGCTCTGATTTAGAGATCAAATAGCTTGGCTTATCAGAACACTTAGTAAGACACTATTAGAACTGGTGCTCTGATCTAGAGATCAAATAGCTTGGCTTATCAGAACATTTAGTAAGACACTATTAGAACTGGTGCTCTGATTTAGAGATCAAATAGCTTGGCTTATCAGAACACTTAGTAAGACACTGTTAGAACTGGTGCTGACAGAGATCAAATAGCTTGGCTTATCAGAACATTTAGTAAGACACTTTTAGAATTGGTGCTCTGATTTAGAGATCAAATAGCTTGGCTTATCAGAACACTTAGTAAGACACTGTTAGAACTGGTGCTGACAGAGATCAAATAGCTTGGCTTATCAGAACATTTAGTAAGACACTTTTAGAATTGGTGCTCTGATTTAGAGATCAAATAGCTTGGCTTATCAGAACACTTAGTAAGACACTGTTAGAACTGGTGCTCTGATTTAGAGATCAAATAGCTTGGCTTATCAGAACACTTAGTAAGACACTGTTAGAACTGGTGCTGACAGAGATCAAATAGCTTGGCTTATAACAACATTTAGCTTGAAAATAGCATATGAGTTTTGTGCATGCCTCTTATTTTTACAAACATTTCACTTTGAATTAAAATGACAGTAGCATCAAATTTTATAAACATATACGAATTAATATTAGAGAGCTGCTGTAACATAGAAGAAACACATATACTAGAGAGATGTTGTAACAAGGAAGAAACACACATACTAGAGAGCTGCTGTAACAATTAAGAAACACACATACTAGAGAGCTGCTGTAACAAGGAAGAAACACACATACTAGAGATCTGCTGTAACAAGAAAGAAACACACATACTAGAGAGCTGCTGTAAAAAGGAAGAAACACATATATTAGAGAGCTGCTGTAACAAGGAAGAAACACACATACTAGAGAGCTGCTGTAACATGGAAGAAACACACATACTAGAGAGCTGCTGTAAAAAGGAAGAAACACATATATTAGAGAGCTGCTGTAACAAGGAAGAAACACACATACTAGAGAGCTGCTGTAACATGGAAGAAACACACATACTAGAGAGCTGCTGTAAAAAGGAAGAAACACATACTAGAGAGCTGCTGTAACAAGGAAGAAACACACGTACTAGAGAGCTGCTGTAACATGGAAGAAACATGTACTAGAGAGCTGCTGTGACATGGAAGAAACACTAACATGGAAGAAACACATATACTAGAGAGCTGTTGTAAAAAGGAAGAAACACACATACTAGAGAGCTGCTGTAACATGGAAGAAACACACATACTAGAGAGCTGCTGTAAAAAGGAAGAGACACATATATTAGAGAGCTGCTGTAACATGGAAGAAACACACGTGCTAGAAAGCTGCTGTAACATGGAAGAAACACACGTACTAGAGAGCTACTGTAACATGGAAGAAACACACATACTAGAGAGCTGCTGTAACATGGAAGAAACATATATACTAGAGAGCTGCTGTAACATGGAAGAAACACATATACTAGAGAGCTGTTGTAACATGTAAAAAAAAAAAATGAAAGGCTAGGTAAAATGAACAACTGACTTGAGCATGTGCAATCCTAGTGGAAAGTTCCTTGGCTGCAAATCCTCCAAAAACTAACGAATGTACGGCACCTATTCTAGCACTTGAAAGCATTGCAATGATAGCTTCTGGAAACATTGGCATGTATATAAGAACTCTGTCTCCTTTCTCAACACCTTGAGCTTTTAACGCCCCAGCAAAGTCCTCAACCTGGAATTAAAGACAATCATTTAGTTTAAAAATTAAACAAAATTCTAAATAAACAGACAGCATTTTACTTAATAATGTTTAACTCGAATCAACACCACTGACATTTCAATAATAAAATCCTTTACCTGCTTTAGCAATTGAGCATATGTTATGTATCTAACACTTCCTGTTACTGGACTATCATAAATAATTGCCGGCTGGTCACCTCGCCCTAATTTAATGTGCCGGTCAACTGCATTGTAACAGGTGTTTAACTCGCCACCTACAAACCTGGAGGAAAAAAGAGCAGTCTGTTGTTGTTTTGTAAAATACAACTGTTGGCAAGAGGGTGGGTATGGAGCTGTAATGATGCCAGGGTTGGCAAGAGGGTGGGTATGGAGCTGTAATGATGCCAGGGTTGGCAAGAGGGTGGGTATGGAGCTGTAATGATGCCAAGGTTGGCAAGAGGGTGGGTATGGAGCTGTAATGATGCCAGGGTTGACAAGAGGGTGGGTATGGAGCTGTAATGATGCCAGGGTTGACAAGAGGGTAGGTATGGAGCTGTAATGATGCCAGGGTTGACAAGAGGGTGGGTATGGAGCTGTAATGATGCCAGGGTTGACAAGAGGGTGGGTATGGAGCTGTAATGATGCCAGGGTTGACAAGAGGGTGGGTATGGAGCTGTAATGATGCCAGGGTTGGCAAGAGGGTGGGTATGGAGCTGTAATGATGCCAGGGTTGGCAAGAGGGTGGGTATGGAGCTGTAATGATGCCAGGGTTGACAAGAGGGTGGGTATGGAGCTGTAATGATGCCAGGGTTGACAAGAGGGTGGGTATGGAGCTGTAATGATGCCAGGGTTGACAGCTTAGTATAACTATTTGCCTAGGATTATTTTAGATCATCATTATTAAATTACAGCCGCCTCCCCCAAAATGGATAACTGGCTGCCGGGACAACCAGCTCTGGTTCAGGGTTATCTATACAAGCACTATAAAAGTACTCAATAATCATCAACATCATGATTTTAATCATTATTTTAATCATTATTTAATTGAATTAGCGACACATCAACCTATATTTATATTGGCCTTAAAGCCTATTTAAAGACACAAATAATGATAAAACCTATATTTATTTTGGCCCTATAAACTCTATTATATATTGGCCCGAAAGCCTAAATTTATAATGATCATAAAATCTATTAATTGACACATGATGATAAAACCTATATTTATTTTGGTTCTAAAACCTATTAATTGACACATAATGATAAAAACTATATTTATATTGGTTATAAAACCTATTAATTGACACATAATGATAAAAACTATATTTATATTGGTTCTAAAACAAATTAATTGACACATATAATGATAACAATTTATAATTAAATTGACCCTAAAGCCAATATTTATATTGGCCCTCAAGCATAAAGCTATATTGGCTCTAAAACATAAATCTATATTGGCCCTAAAACCTATTAACTGACAAATATAATTATAAAACCTATATTTACATTGGTCTCAAAGCCTATTAAATCTCCCTATTAAGGACCTTTAAGAGACCTTTAAAATTAATGATTAAATTATTTCATTTATGAAAGGATTTGTATTTGAAGCAAAAGTTATTGGAATTAACTACTACTACTAAACACTTTTAATGTTCCTTGATATTTTAGGTGGCTGGGTGTTATGTAGACGACATGTTTACCTCATCTTTCCCCGTGAATGAACTCTAGCTGACCCCAAGCTCAGAACCGCAGTTAGGATGTGGCTAACCAGAAAGGAATACAATGTGTAAGTCTGTTTGAGAAATGTCTCTGAAACAGGCTCTGATACAGGCTATTTATATACGTCTAGAGAGCTTGAGAGACACGAGAGAGCGCTATTACTATAGAGATTTACAATACGAGACAGAGATTTGATTACTAACTTTTGCTCTCTGTGTGTGTGTAGATTCCCTTTCATCTTTGTACCTTTTACAACATTTATTTTTCAACATTGTACCGGTACAAGCCAATCATTATACTGTAATTCAATAGCTTTAATTTATTTTTTTTTGATTTTTTAATTTATTATTAACTTAATAACATTTATTAAATGTTATTTGCCCTAGTTTGAGTATCGTTTTCTTTGTTATTGTATTTAACATATGGTATCGTCTTCTGTTGTGTACTGTTCTAGAATGAGCCATATACTTAAATAAGAGATTAATTTCTCCATAATGATAACCGTTTGTTACAGTGGGTATAGACTGTAGAAAGTCATTGAATTATCAAAATCTTTTGACTAATTATTATACATTATTGCCCCACTGTCCCAATACAGGATGTTTTTTAAAAAGTTAAAATGTAGGGGTCCTTCTTAAAGATTTATATGAATAACAGGTGGTGTGTTAGATAGGCCAGACGATAGACTTTTTGGTGTGGCAGGTGGTGTTAGATAGGCCAGACGATAGACTTTTTGGTGTGGCAGGTGGTGTTAGATAGGCCAGACGATAGACTTTTTGGTGTGGCAGGTGGTGTTAGATAGGCCAGACAATAGACTTTTTGGTGTGGCAGGTGGTGTTAGATAGGCCAGACGATAGACTTTTTGGTGTGGAAGGTGGTGTTAGATAGGCCAGACGATAGACTTTTTGGTGTGGAAGGTGGTGTTAGATAGGCCAAACGATAGACTTTTTGGTGTGGCAGGTGGTGTTAGGCCAGACGATAGACTTTTTGGTGTGTGCCCTATTTTTAAAATTTTTTATTTCCAATTAGCAACATGTGCAGCATGTGTGGTTGTTCAAAGGATTTCTAGTGTTTTTCTCTTCACAGCAGCAAGTAAACTAAGCAAGTGACATCTTCACAGCAGCAAGTAAACTAAGCAAGTGACATCTTCACAGCAGCAAGTAAACTAAGCAAGTGACATCTTCACAGCAGCAAGTAAACTAAGCAAGTGACATCTTCACAGCAGCAAGTAAACTAAGCAAGTGACATCTTCCAAATGACTTGGCATATTGTAACTCTTCTGTGCTCATTTTACTGATCATACATGTGGTTATATAAACATGTTATGAATATTAAAATGGCATTACACTTTTAACTAACAAAATTTAGCTAAATTTGTGTGTCCTAAGTTTGAGACAGTGAGCATTACCAGCATTTGAGACAGTGGGCATTACCAGCATTTGAGACAGTGGGCATTACCAGCATTTGAGACAGTGGGCATTACCAGCATTTGAGACAGTGGGCATTACCAGCATTTGAGACAGTGGGCATTACCAGCATTTGAGACAGTGGGCATTACCAGCATTTGAGACAGTGGGCATTACCAGCATTTGAGACAGTGGGCATTACCAGCATTTGAGACAGTGGGCATTACCAGCATGTGTCCTTCACATCACGCTTTATATTGTTTTGCTGTCAGGATGAGAAGGAATCTTACCACAAATGATATTTTTGATGTATTTTGAAGAAGATAAGAGGAAATTTAGTACTGGTAGTGCCAGAATTGCATGCTGTGGCAATGAAACTGAAGGAGATAGTATTGAAGTTGTACCAAAAAGGATTAAAAAAGCAAACTCAGGCTCAAGATGAAAGAAACTAATGTTTTGCAGTCAGCTGGTGATAATGGAGATATACTGGGAGGTCCAAAATGATCCAAACGGCCCATCCAGCTCAGGAAAACAATGCTGTAAGATGATGCGGGGATATTTTTAAAAAAATGTAGTGTCAGAGTCCTTGCAAAAAGCTTTGAAAGCTTTCATTATAAGGAAAAATGTGACACTGGACTGTGCCATCCGTCCCAAAAATGTGACACTTCACTGTGCCATCCGTCCCAAAAATGTGACACTGGACTGTGCCATCCGTCCCAAAAATGTGACACTTGACTGTGCCATCCGTCCCAAAAATGTGACACTTAGCTGTGCCATCCGTCCCAAAAATGTGACACTTGGCTGTGCAATCCGTCCCAAAAATGTGACACTTGACTGTGCAATCCGTCCCAAAAGGTGACACTTGACTGTGCCATCTGTCCCAAAAATGTGACACTGGACTGTGCCATCTGTTCCAAAAATGTGACACTTGACTATGCCATCCGTCCCAAATATGTGACACTGGACTGTGTCATCCGTCCCAAAAATGTGACACTTGGCTGTGCCATCCGTCCCAAAAATGTGACACTTGACTGTGCCATCTGTTCCAAAAATGTGACACTTCACTGTGCCACATGTCCCAAAAATGTGACACTGGACTGTGCCATCCATCCCAAAAATGTGACACTTGGCTGTGCCACCTGTGCCAAAAAATGTGACCTTGACTGTGCCATCCATCCCAAAAATGTGACACTTGGCTGTGCCATCCGTCCCAAAAATGTGACTCTCTGCGGTGCCATCCGTCCCAAAAATGTGACTCTCAGCTGTGCCATCCGTCCCAAAAATGTGACTCTCTGCTGTGCTATATGTCCCGAAAATGTGATGCTCTGCATTTTTTACCGAGGGGAATTAAAAAAATGGCCGGTGAACAGGTTTTTTAAAAACTCAATGAAGATCTTTCTTGAAAGCTTCATTGAAATATTTGCTTTAGAATTAATTGGGCATTAACAGGTTATTAAATAGGCAGATATTGATTTGAACAATTCTTCATATGCGGTTTTTTCCCCTCATAATTAAAGCAAAATCATTTCACAATAATGCAGTGTCAACATATTCTTTTTTACAGCTTTTTTTTATGTTGCTTTTTTAAATGTTCCAAAGAATACAATGTTTACATTTAAATGGTAGATGGGCAGTTTAAAAAACCAAAACCAAAAAAGAACCACAAAAAAAACTTCAACTTCACATGTTTGTAATTTATAACAAATAAAATGAAATTGTCAAAATTCGAAAATGAAATTAGCTGCTGACCTGTAAACAATTAAGCATAGCTTTTTTTTGTTATTGAGCTGTAGTGTAGTAAAGTAGTAAAACCGTAATGACAGTTCAGAAACCAGCACAATCACTGTAAATAGTATTTAAAAATGAAAAGCGGTAGAAATAAGATGAAAATGCACATTTTTACAACAAAATACTTCAACTTAGTGAACGAACCCCTGGTATATTTTCCCACAGGTTGAGAAATGTTTGCCTAAGTCATACGTGCCAATTAGTATGGTTTACCCAAAGCCATTGCTTGGCCCTGCAATCCCTGGGGCTGCAGGGGGCCTAGGATATTTAAGGGGCCTAAAGCTGTGTTGTGGAAAAGAAATGTTTAATGAGCTACAAAATGTATCAACGTTGAATTCAAAGGCACAAAACTCAGAAGTAGCTGGTGGGCCTACAAAAGTCATGCAACGGCTCTAGGTTTACCGGTTATTCATGCATTTTTTAAAACCATTTTTGAATTGTGTGGAACTATTGGCTTTTGAAGAGTTTTCACCAGATATAGAATAAAATAGTTTTACACAAGACACATGTTCAAAAATGGCAGTGCAATAAATTCAACCTTGGTCAAAAGTAAGCTTAAATCCTATTGGTCTGCTCAAAATGACCTTTGGCCCAAAATTTGGGATTGGTAGGTCATCTAAATATAGAAAGAAACTGAGCATGGTTTCGTCACTAAAGAGTATCTACTAATATTGCTTAATTTGCATGAACCATTGATAATAGTTCATAGACAGCACTGTATGGTTAGTAACTCCTCTGAGAAGTAAACCACAATTACAAATCTTTTTGTGTAAATCTTAGCAAGAATTGCAATGTCAATAAGTATTCTTTTAATTTATATTAAATATATTTAATATCCCTAACAATGAATAGCTTTAGTCATTAAGCTTGTTTATCATTCCAGGAAGACTTAATTTAACTTGTTCAAACTTTCTAAGGCTTAAGTGGATGTGATTTTCTTGGTTGTATAAATAAGTATACATTACGGTACTTAAGAGTCAAAATCTTTGAGAATGTTATAGAGCAGTGGTTCTCAACCTTTTTAATGCCGCGACCCCTTTATACAGTTCATAATGTTGTGGCGACCCCCAACCATAAAATTATCTTCCTTGCTTCTTCATAACTTTAATTTTGCTTCTATTATGAATCGTAATGTAAATATCTGCTATGCAGGATGTATTTTCATTGTTACAAATTGAACATAATTAAAGCATAATCACAAAAAACAACAGGTAATAAAATATTGTGAAATATTTATTTCTAATTACAAAATAATGAGATTTTTGTCTTGAAGCATGGTGTAGCATGGGTAGCAGTCTTGATATAAAAACAGTAAACTACATTGCTACATTTTGAGACAGAATGGATGAAAAGCAAACGTCAGTGCGAAGGTTGAGGTTGTTTTTTTCTTACCAGATCAGAAATGCTTGGGGGCAGTCTTTGCAAGAGCACAACGAAGATCGTCAGCCACAACAAGTCTACTTCTGTATTTAGACTTGATAACCAACAAGCTGGAAAACCCCGTTTCACAAAGATACGTTTTTGGAAATGGAAGTAGAGGGCGCAGCACGGTTTCAGACAGAACAGGAAATGACTGCAAACACTTGATCCAGAATTTTGTAACTGGCATTGTAGAGAAATCAGTTCTCGCTGCATCGCTGTTAATAAGTTCAATGAACTCCTCTTCTGCTGACTCAGGAACATCTTCAACTTTGACTGTGAAAGGGCTTCTGGCAAGTGCAAATGGGGTGTCAGGTAAATTTGGGAAATACGATGAAATTTCATCTGCAAGCACGTGCAAGTGTTCTTTCACAGAGTTGATCATCGTAAGTCTTTTGTCTGGTTCAATGTTATGTTCCTCAAAGAACGAAGATAAGATAGGCAACATGTCAATTTTATTTTCATCTAATTTTTTTTGCCAAAGCTGAAGTTTCATTTGGAATGATTGCATCTTTTCAGACAAATCGAGGCATGCTGCATTTGGTCCTTGCAGTGATAAATTTAACTTATTTAAGATGGCAAAGATGTCAACCAAATAAGCTATTTTCTGCAGTTCCCTTTTATCACTAAAAAGTGCTTCGAACTGCGGTTTTGCTTTCTGATTAAAAAACGTTTTGAGTTGATCACGAAGCTCAAAAACACGTTTCAAAACTTTTCCTCTCGACAACCATCTCACTTCAGTGTGAAATAGCAGAGCATTGTTAAACGCATCCAACTCGTTGCACAGTTGCGAAAACAGTCGACTGTTTAACGGGCTAGCCTTTACAAAATTGATAGAACTGATGACGCTTTTCATTACTTCTTGTAACTCTTGTGGCAGCGTCTTCGTAGCTAATATTTGCCGATGAATCATACAATGAGTTCGATGACTTTTGGTGACTCATTTTGTACCAAACTTTGAACTCCAGATCGACATCCTAGCATAGCTGGAGCACCATCTGTGCAAACACCACAAACCTTTCCCAAGATATTATGATCTTTCAGAAATAAACTAACTGTGCCAAATACACCTCGTGCAGTAGTTGTCGTTTCCAGAGGTTTGCAAAAAACAAACTCATCTTTAAAGCTGCCATCATTAATATACCTCACATAAACTAGTAACTGTGAATAGTTTGCAACGTCTGTAGATTCATCAAGCTGGATACTAAATATTGGAAGTGAAGCAGATTTAATTTCCTGGATTACCTGATCAAGAATATCAACAGAAATATCATCTTTTCTTCTGCGGACAGTGTCGTTAGATAAGGAAATTGCACTCAATTTCGTAACGAATTCGTCTCCGATCATAACGCGTACAATGTCTTTGGCTGCTGGCAACAATAAATTTTCAGCAATGGTGTGAGGTTTCATAGCTCTGGCGATTCTGAGTGCCACCAAATATGAAGCTTCGACGGCTGCTAAGTTTTGTTTGTGGTACTTGCCACCAGTGTCAAGTCTGGCTTTCTGGAGTCCAAGGCTTTACTTCTGAAATAGTTGGTATCCTTGCCGGCAAAGCTCGGATGCTTGCTATCAAAATGGCATTTTAGTTTGTTCAGCTTCATAGATTCGGCTGATAAAACTTCACAACAAATAACACATTGGGGTAGCTCAATCCCAAGTGCACTATTTATAGACCCCGATGACCCGCTAATGAGCTGATTTGTGCTGTAATAATTTGGAATAAGACACACATTGGGGGGAAGTTTCAAAGTGAGTGGCTGACTGAATACCCAGGCTTATTTATACCTCACAGCCATGAAGACTAAGATTTTTCCAAAATTATGTAAAAGAAAAAAAAAGATTGCAGAAATCTACTTAATGGTGAAACAACTGCATCTATTTTACAGTGCAAAATTAAAAATGACACTTGCTCTTTTGGTTTTCAAACTAATCGGTATCAAGAAGGCAAAGTTTGCATGCATTCAAAACACTGATAATTAAATTTTAAAAAGTTATAAATTATACTTTTTTTTTACTTTTAATTTTTTTCTGTACAGTTTTTCATCCCAACCAACAGTTTTTTGGGGACATTTTGTAGTTATTGATCCCGGTGATTGGCATGTATGTATGCCTAAGTGAGTAAGTAGTAAGTCACTTAGTAATTGCATTCATAAACTGTAGATGTAGAATATCCAGTAAAAGTCCTTTGTTAAATCCTTCATATTAACGTCACTTTTTTTTGTGGCTGGCAAAATTTTGGGACGGCTAATTGTCCCACTTCCCATCAACCTATCGCTTTGAAACTTGGCACATAAACTCATTACCAATGACAAACATTTTATAAAATTTTCAGCACCACCATCCCACACCCCCCCCCCCCCTTGTTTTATTTTAAAATTTATAAAGGATTTTATTATCCAAAAAAACATTGTTTTTAGATTTTAGGGGTTCTTTATTTTTAAGCCTAAAATAATTTTGGGACCGCTTATTGTCCCACTTCCCATCAAACTATCGCCTTGAAACTTGGCACATAAACTCAATACCAATGACAAACATTTTATAAAATTTTCAGCACCACCATCCCACCCCCCCCCCCCCCTTGTTTGATATTACAATTTATAAAGGATTTTATTATACAAAAAAACATTGTTTTTAGATTTTAGGGGTTCTTTATTATTAAGCCTAAAATAAGCTACATCATATAAAGTAAAGGGAATGAAATACATGTTAACCCCATAGGCGGTGTAATACTGAAAGATGTCATCAAACCTTGTCATTGCCACTCCCCTCATCCCTCTTTTTTTTTTTGGGGGGGGGGGGGGTGGGGCGGGAGCTTTGTGAGAAAATGAAAAGTTGTGGCACAAAAGTAAAAGCACATCAATACTATTATTACTGTTCATTGTTGCCACTGTGCCACTGTTGGTAGTTCAAATTCAAATTAGTTGTAGTTGTACATAAAATTAAAATGTAATAAAAATTATAGACGGTAGGCCTAAAAAATATTAATGATAATAGGTATAGTATAGTTATAGGTTTAAAATGTTGGGCTTATACTATAGGGCCTAAGTTATAGAGATGGGGTTATTACCATCTCGTAAATGGCAAGTTATTTGCATCTAACACTCTATCCCATTTTTTAATCCAGTCGATGTTTTCTGCAGCAGCTGCCCAGAACTCTTCGGGTTTTTCCAGAGTCTCTTTAAAGACTGAAGCATAATTATACACACATTGTGATAATGATCCGGAATGTCTTTTAAATAGTACATTATTTTTTAGACAATATGATGTATTTATAAATCTGTAAACATCTCTTTTCATTACGTGTCTGCTACAATTTATAACCATGTGAAAGGTCGCCATTTTAGGGTCACTATGAGTTAACCTTTGACTCGGTTGTTTTTTAATCTTTCGTTATAGAAGACAATCGCTTACGCGTGTTGTAAAAAGTAAACCCGCCGAATAATTATTAAATCTAGTTATTGTTACACCTTATTTTTAAGATTCAAACAAAACCTTTCATGTATTTATATAAAAAAAAAATTAGTTTTGAAGGTCCTAAACGGTTTTAAAAATCATAAAGAAATTCGTGTTTTCTATTGTGTCTAAAAAGAACTGAGATAAAGAATAAAGCAAATATTTTATGTTTATTAGTTTAAAACATGCATACATGCTTATTAATGTTTAAATTAAAAAAGTGAAAATAGAATAGCACACGAAAAATATATACTCAAGTTTATTATTCCTAATTTTTCTGACAGAAAATAATAACACTCACTTCCTGTTTACCTCTGTTCCTGGCTCATAAGTGATTGGGAAGCTTTGATTACTATTTTGTTCATACAGTTCACGACGCCTAATTGCATTATAATTTAATGAATTAGTCTCGTCATCATGGATGATTTTATTTGAGTAATTTTTATGTATCATTACATGCGTTCAATTTTATATATAAAACAGACTACTTAACTTTATAGAAATATAATAATTGATTTAAAATTTAACAAAAAAGCATAATCATAATAATATGAGTTAAAATTCAATAAACATTGTTATTTTTTCGTTTTTTCCTATGCCTATATTTATATAAATAATGATTTTCCCAATTTTTCTGTTCACTTTTTTCTGAACATACCCACAAATATATATATAAAAAAATAATAATCTTGATGTTATATAAAAGTTTTGTTGTTTATTTTGATGTATAGGCCTATTGCATTGAGAATGTCTCCTGACAATTTGGTAGCATTATCTTTTAAAATCCAAAAGTTTTGGGCAAAAATAAGGCAGAAATTTGGAAAGTGGGTCACACGTTTTTTCAGTTAAATACTAAGATAAAGAAGGGGGTTTTAAAAAATCACCCAAAAAATCATAACTCCACTTCTATAAAAGATAGAAAGATGAAATTGGTGTTGTTGTAAAGCTTATAGCTAGCCCTTTAAAATGATGTATCATTCATGGCAATCAGACAATATTTAAATTTTGTGTCAAAGTACCTACTAATTATATTACCTTTTTATAGTGAAAGTCTAACACATACTCATACTCAAAGGATTGGCTCTGTTTCAGTTCAGTATTTGGCCCACATGATCTATTCTGAACTGTGGAATCTATGACTATGTATTGTTATGTAAATGCAATTACTAGTTGGACTTGTACTAACTAGTAGTAATAGTAGTAGTAAGTAGCCTACTTGCGTACTATCAAATGATGTACTGTCTGTAGTCGTGGTTAGTACGACAGTATGTATTAAAAAATAGCAAACACGTATTAGTCAGTTATGATATATATAATATTAATATATATATAAATATATATATATTATATTTCTGTGAGTAACTTTATGACAGTATTTATTTTATTTGTACATTCATAAATTATGAATTAATAAAATGCTGCCTTGCTAAGACTTAAGTAGTTAATTTTTAAGTTAAGTTAAGTAGAGCCTTCGCCTTCTTAGCCTTAGAAGTTTTGTGTTACCCTGCATCCTAAATGACTATTTGTATTTATTAAATTTATAATTAATATTAATTTAACTAAGGCAAAGGAGTAAGTCTGAGTTACTAAGTTGTATTTATGCCATGGCCTTTCAACATACGTCACATTGGAGATGACGTCAGTGGGTCGCCGAGCGCGAGCTCTTAATACCCCCCCCCCCCCACACGGGCCGATCCTGGTCTCCCCGCCGCCAGGCCATGCAAGCCAGGAACCTCCCGGCTGGCCTGGGAGACGTCGGGTCGACTGAAAACGCGTTTAAAGCGTCCGCGGTCCACTCTCCTTGGGTCTGAACGGCTTTGCTTCCTCTCTGGGGGAAAGGTGTTGCAAGGGTTCTAACCACCACCCAGGCCTAATATCCATTATCAGCAACAAGTAATCATGTTGTTGCATTCCTTCAGTTGCGTTGGATGTCATGCAAGTGGCCGGGGTTTTTGGCTTCGGGAGAAGAGACCTCCCTACTAGTCTGGCACGCCACGAAGAGGCAAACCCCACGTGACACTGCCAAGTGGCCTCAGTGGTGCTGAACTTCCACCTAGAGACATTTGGTCCCCATCCAACCTTTCAACATACACAAGTTACAATTTAAACAAAAATTATAATTTAAAATTTAAGTTGACTATTCAAAATCGGATGATATTGATAATTTCTCTGCTCTCTTTTTCAGGTATTTGAGCTGTGCCAAACTACTTTGAGATTCAAATGACATAATCCATAACATTTAAATACACTGCATATAAATATAACCTGCTCAGTTAAAGTTAAATTTTATTGAAGAAAGAAAAGTGATACACATTTTTGAAAACATGGCAAATGCTGACATGATGACACTCAATAGTACTGCGCCTCCAATGTATGTTGAGCGATTATTTATGGACATTTTCAATGCCAATGAAGATGATCCATTTCACAGTGATGTCATCTTAGAAACTCAAAGGGACTTCTTATACTTGTGTCTTATTTTTCTTGTTGGAGGTGAGCAGCTCTATTTAGACACCATTAATTTATGTAACTTACAGTTCATGTACTAATAGCTGCCCTTTTTCTGTGAGCAGCTCTATTTAGACACCATTAATTTATGTAACTTACAGTTCATGTACTAATAGCTGCCCTTTTTCTGTGAGCAGCTCTATTTAGACACCATTAATTTCATGTAAATGCACACTAGCTGTACTTTTTTACGGCCCTTGTATTTTTTGTCTCGTCATGTACATTATATTTATATGAACAAATCTAAAATATCAGATATTGTTTAGTTAAACATCCTATTGGTCTGCACATTTTAATTAAAACTTTTCATTAAAAATGGGAAAAGTGCTACTTTGACGTCAATTAGACATCCGGTTAAAATTAAAACCTTCTTAGAATTAAAAAAAAATATTTATAAAAATAAATCTGCTCAGTAAACTTATAGTTTTAACTTTTTCTCAGTAGCCTAGTTTTATGAAAGTTTGGTCAAAGTTGAAGTGTTATTCCTGTCTGAAATGAATATAGTAACAGTTATCGACATATCTTGTTTATTTCAGCTGTTGTACGTCATGCCACTGATGTCCTGCTCATCCCTGTCCCGTACACAGTCATTGTGTTTTTGGTTGGAGCTATTGCTGGATACTTGCCGCTTGGGCATGCGATAGAATTCGGTCCTCACACTATTATTTATGTGTTCATGCCAATTTTGATTTTTGAAGGGTCCTTTGCAATTGACATCTATATTTTTAAACAAATATTTCTGCAAGTTTTGGTGCTAGCAGTTCCTGCTCTTGGTAAGTAGAGGGCAAAAGCAAAAAAGTAATGATAGTTTAGAGATAAATAGTTGTGCGTAACAAATATGCAAATCGATAATTCCGTCAAATTCCTGCAAAGAATTTGGTCTGCAAATCAGCTTAAAAAGACAAACATCATGGCCCAAGACACTCGACCTCCACCTAACATAAAAATCGATAATGAAAACTTGGAGGTTGTGGACAGCTTCACCTACTTGGGGTCCAAGGTCTCCAATACACTGTCCATTGAAGAAGAAATAAACAGCAGAATCGGCAAGGCAGCTGCCACAATGGCTAAACTAAATAAACGGGTCTGGCAAAACACCAAGCTAACGGAGAAAACCAAACTGTGCGTCTATTGCGCTTGTGTCATCAGTACACTACTATACGGGAGCCAGACATGGACCACCTATACATCCCAAGAGCGCAAGCTTAATAGCTTCCATATGAGATGCCTGCGTGGCATCCTTGGTATTAAATGGCAAGAAAAAGTGACTAATAGTGAGGTCCTAAAGCGTGCGAATACCCAAAGCATGTTCACAATCCTAAGTGAAAGACGCCTGAGATGGCTAGGTCATGTTAAAAGAATGAGTCCCGGCCGTATTCCGAAAGACCTCCTATATGGTGAACTTGCTTCGGGAAAGAGGAAAACAGGTCTCCCATGTCTGCGATTTAAAGATGTCTGTCAAAGGGACATGAAAGCAGCCAAAATACATACAAGTAACTGGGAGTGTAAGGCAAAAGACCGATCTACGTGGCGCACAGTTGTCAAAGAGGGCGTCATGGTAGCCGAGGAGCGAAGAATGGAAGAGGCTGCAGACAGAAGAGCTAGGAGAAAGGCCAAAACATTTAGAAGCACGGAACTCGTGTGTAAAAACTGTGGTAAAGACTGTTACTCAAGGATAGGACTGCACAGCCACTCGAGAAAATGCAACCCAACCCAACGGTGATGCACCA